ATGCTCTGGTGAGATCCGAGATCTGTTTCACAGAATTATGAATTAATTGATGTTAGGGGTGTATTTTAATATGTACTAAAACTTGTCAAATAAAATCATTCACAAAAGCCTTTGTCTCGGGCCTTTCCCAGATGAGAGCAGTCAGATAGGTCAGGAGTAGTTTTACAGCCACATATTTCATTTGGACTCTTTAAACATCAGAAAACAACAGTCCTGCCAAAGGTAGTTTCCTGCTTTCAGACTCCACTCCTCTTTGCAGATGTTAGGAAGGGAGAGTCACAGATTGAAAACACACCTGTGTAAATATGAGACCGTATGGTAGCCAAGCATCTGAAGAAGAAGAAGAAGGGGAAAGACAGCTTGTGTTGTACTCTTTGATCCAGGCCCAGATAACAACAGGTGAAGCTTCATGTAGCCAAATCACAAGAAAAGTATAGGCCAGGGGTTTCGGCGTAAATGAAGATGCCTTTATTTTTTGTAGTCAAGCCGTTTTATCAGAGGTCGTGGGATGGAGACAAAGGCAGTGCAGATGAGTTCCTCAATGGTGAGACTGTGTGGAATCTGAGACTCTGCTTCCGCTGCTCACTCCCTGCCCTGCAACCCCATTCATCCCCTCCTCTTTCCTGCTTTTAAGAGCACCTCCCCTGAATCTCCCCCTTGCTCATGGCTGGAAATGTTGTACGTCCACAGCACACACAGCTTGATGTGAGACCTGGAATCCTCAGCATGACCCTTAATATGCAGAACGTATGTGATGAAAAGCTTGTGCATAAGTCTGTGTTATGTGCAATGAATGTCACTTTCATGCTTCACCTGCATGGAGTAGGATATTCCTACCTGTTGTTTTAGCATGTTCATTTGCTATAGAACTGCCTTAGTGGAAAAGTAATGTATTTCATCCGTGAACTGGTAAGTAACTGCAAGGAAGTAATTAACAAGAGCAGCAGCTGCAAAATACATGACAACAAACAACAAATGCATCTGAATCCTGGTAAAATACTGTGTTTCTAACTCATGATTACAGTTCCACATGTCTAAGCTGATTCCTCTTCCTGCCTGCAGCCATCCCAGACTCCCAAGTGAGGCCTGGCATTCTGGGAAGTAAGCTGGAAAACGAGGACATCAAAAACATTATCCCTGAACCAGTCGCAACGCCACCCCCTAGGATCCGCCAGCAGCCTTTTGACTATGATGGAGAAGTCTACATTGGCACCCAGACAGAGCAGAGACCAGTGGATGAATTTCCCGAGGAAGAGGAGGGGGAGGAGGAGGAGGAAGAGGAAGACAACCAGCTCAATCCAAGAGGAGATGTTTTCAGTTAAGTGTGGCTGTCTTGCAATAATTCTGTTTCTAGTATTCTGGGTGGTTTGCAATGCATTAATCATATAGACTAAATAAACTCAGTATGTTCCTATACAGATTTTGCTCTTGTGTCTACACAGTTATAAATTTTCCAATAGGCAGCTGAAATAAGTAGAAAATAGTAGGTCTGGTCTAAGCATGTTCCCTGTCAACCTCAGGCTCCTCTGAGACCTAATTGACTCTTCTTGGAAAGTCTGATGTTACTGACAATGAAGAAATACATATTTCCTATATTAGAGGCACAAAAGTAGACTCTTTCTAGGGAAGAACATTGAATCTGATAGGTCAGAGACATCCCAGTCAGGATAATTATTTCAACAAAGAACCGCAAGCATTGTCCATGTCATGCTGTCATGTCCTTCAGAACTGGAAAAAAAAAGAGTCACTAATCCTTCAGTTCAACTGAACTCCAAGCGCACGTTTTTCAAAACTCTTTCTTTACGTTAAACCATTGGCTAAATCAAATTAAATAATTGCACAGGCCATTCACACCTGCGTATATACACATTCTGGTGACAATGATAAAAAGATTACAGTGGGCAGTGTGACCATGCAGTGGTATGCATCTCACCGAAACACTCGATAAATGTGGTTGTCTTTCACCACCAATTGTGATATTTATGGGAACACAGAGTCTGTGTAAGAAGTCAGATAGCAAGAGGAGACAGGCCCCAAGACATCCATCACCTCCAGGGAGGAATGTTACTCTGTCGGCATGTGAGAGCCCAGGGATACAAGTCATCCTGGGCCTGCTTCCCATCTCCTGGGAGGAGGGTGAGGAAGGGAGGGAGGTTACGAAGCCCCCAAGCCTTTTATTATGTTTTTCCCAAAACAGCTGTTGTGCAAACAGACTTGACTCCAAGTAGGAAAGTCTGTCATCAGCACTCTAGACCTCTCTAACACTAGCCCACTCAGGGTGAGCAGGTTAAATAACCCCAGCTGTCACTCGTCTGACAGTCTAAGGCTGCTTGCCATGGGGGTGGTTTGCTGCAAGAGCTTTAAAATGCTTGGGGGGGGGGGCTGCATCCTAAAGTTGTAGTTCCATCTCAAGACATGAGTGACAGCAGGGCAGGTCTACACCTGTTGGTTAAAAGCCCCTTTCTGGTGTATGTTTCATTGGGGAAAATCTCTTTGCTGCATAATTTTGGAATGTTTTTTTTTTTAGATCACATATTTTCTTAGGAATTCATAGACAAAAAGTTTTATGTTATTATACGAGTGTTATTCTGATGCAGTTGTGTCTGCCTTTATTCATTTACTCATCGTCATATTTGCTTTTTAATAATTAGAATACAATTCATGTGTTCACACTGATTTTTTCCTTTCTTCCTCTCCATACACAGTATCAGAGGACTTCGAATCAGTATTTGGCCCAGCCACAGAAGTCAAAGAAATCCCAATAGCACCAGTTCAGGAGGGTAATCAAATATCTGTATATGAGCCATTGTTTTATAATGTTATAATGTTTATATGACTAATTTGCCCATTTTTTCCTTGTTCTTTCACCTTGTAGAGTTTATCATGGATTGCAACTTTGACCAGGGAGCATGTGAGTGGGTCCAAGACAAGGCTGATGACATGGACTGGAGTGTAGCCTACCATGATACTGGTAACAAAATGCAATCTGCAGCAAGATACATTTTTTTACATTTTAGTTTAAGAGGAATTCTTTTGTGCATTCAGACACACTTACTTACAACAGCTACAAATTCTCTCAGGTGCTGAGTACTACATGGCTATGAGTGGGCTTCTAGGGGAGCAGGGGGACATGGCCAAGCTGAAGTTGCTTCTCAATGACCGGGTCCAGCAGGGCAGCTTCTGCCTCACCTTTGACTACCATGTGGTGGGACATAATGTGGGTGCTCTCAGGGTGCTGCTGGATAACAATGCTTACCCAGTGTGGGAGCAGAATCAAAGCAGAGACCAAGGCTGGCAGACGGAGCTCCTCGCTGTGGCCTGGAAAGAGAAAGCCCCAGAATCTGTGAGTCATTTATTCAATTCATAAGACATATTAGAGTCACATCGTTAAACCAATGCAGTAACTACTAATAACACAATACCTGTAATAATAACTATCATCAGCACTGTGCAAATGTTATACTTATATGACTAGCAATGATGGATTTTTCTCTATAACGTTAAATTAATGTGGTTCACAGTATGTTGCTGTTCACTTATTACTTGAAACTACAAGCTAAAGATGCAATGGTACCACTTAATGTCTTTCAGATTATCTTTGAAGCTCAGCGTGGGACAGGTGTTGGAGGAGAGATAGGGCTGGACAATGTGGTGCTGACCTCAGGGCCCTGTCAAGACGATGTCAGTCCAGTCTATTAGGGATCTCCACCTAGGATCAACACTTTGAAAACCTCCTCTAAATGACACATGTCAGAGATTCCTGTTTCCTGCCGGTATTATGGTCTCCTAATTGTGGAGTTTCTCAGTGTTCTTTCATGGCATAGCCTCAGGACATTCACACAAAGAGACACATGGCCTCAATGGGAGATTAAGTGCTACCAGTGCATGCATGTTTACTTTATCACCATGCTGCTACACCAATACATCCTGCTATCGTCTCTACCATGATTTTCAAAATGGTCTCTTACAATACAGATAACTCAGATCTCAGGAATAGGTGGAAATGCTAACTGTGTCTGTTAGTTATGTTTAACAGTATTGTACTTAGTCCTGTTGTGTATGTGATAGTGCATTGCTGAAGTTAACTGAAAATAATCTATGACATGTAATGTGAATTCTTAGGTGAACTGTTGCTGAAATTCAATCTTAGATGAGTAACTTTTTTGAAGGCTGGTTAGTTTTAATGATAAAAAGTATCAGTGCATAACTGTTGTAAATTTTGCTTTCATATTATACTGTACTATTACATTAAAACTGTTTTTTTTCTAACTCTGTCTGACTTTCCTTTTTTCTTCACATATTGTACGATTGTATACCTGGATGGGTAGCAATATATCATAAATCAAAGATTACAAAAGTCCAAAAACTTAAATCAGATTTATGTATCAGAACTTTGTTTATCTCTTCTTTTTCACCCATTAATCAGGACCCCTCAGATTTATCTGGTCTGCATTTGGAGGAGACCAAGCCCTAGGTTGAGAACCACTGGACCAAGCAACCACACTGTGAATAAAGTAGTCAAAACTAGCTCCATATCCAGCAGCTGCAACAATAAAGCTGCTTAAATAGGGAATGCATCAGTATTAACAACATCAGTCAGAATCAGATTTCAGTCATAGTGGACATTTATCCACAGAACTAGTACTTTTACTTAGGTAAGGCTTTGAATGCAGTTTTTTTATTATGTTCACATTGTGGTAGTGGTACTTTTATTTAAGTAAAGGATCTAAGCTGTGGGTGAGGACTTTTTCCACCACTGCGTTATGAAATTGCTGTGTGGTGTAAAGTTATTTCAGCTGTTTCCATACCTTCAGTGGACATCTCAGTGCAAATCTGGTGCAGCAAGCTGTTAGGTGGTACAGCATCTACTTCGTTTTTGAGTGGTTTTTAAATTGTAACAGTGTGTAGCTAGCTAGGATGTTAGCCGTCAGATAAATGTCGCTCTCTGGTGGTGGTGCATGAATAATACAAAGTAAAAAACGGTATCAATGCAGGCTAATTTCTGTTGACGAAAAAAGCAGAAAGCAAAGTCTTGCTCGATTTAAAAGTAAATGTTTTTTTCCAAGCCTAAATGTATACTGTGTAAAATATCCTATGTATAAGTTGCAAGGGCTTGAAACGTTACCTCAACACTCGTTGGTTGTTTCTGTCAGACAAGATCACATGATCGGCGACTCTCCGTGTAGCTGTTGTTAGCTTTTTAGCAGCTAGCTGTGTTAGCACCGAGGCTTTGGAGCTGCTCATCAGGAAACGGTGCGACCTGTTTCGAGCCACGCCAAGGCGTTTAGCTGTCAAACATATGCATTGACATTATTTCAGTTGCTTCGTGTTTTACTTCTCATTTACTCCGCAGCTGCAAGGCCCAAACTGTAAGGTACGTTACTAGCTATCTTTCCTGGTAGTAAACCTGAGCTAGCGTAATTAGTATATTACATTAATTCCAGCTGTGTTCCCTTGTTTTCTTTTTTTCATGTTCGCCAAGCGAAGCTAATACTTAGACCTAATAGACCTAATTCAGGGACTCTATGCCAGCCTATTACAGCAATTCATTTAATGTCGTGTACGTTGTATGCCACGAGTTGTTTTAAATTGTATACCTTGTTACATTGGCCACAAGCAGTGTTGTGAACGTTTGGTGGTATATAAGGCTTCTTTGCAACGGGGCCTCTCAGTTGTAACTGCTCTCCCGGCCCATCTGTTAATGAGGAAACTGATAATTTGTCACTGTGTTACAGCTGGTTGAACATTACCTACATGGCTGTTCACATCAACATCAAACAAATGAGCATGTGACCAAGGACAAGGTTCTACAGCACATGATCTGGACCGGTGGAGGAGGCTAAATCAATCAGGGGTGAGCCAAAAAGCACGAAACATCCACCAAAAGTTGTGCTCCTGCACTAAAATGTGAAGTAAAGTGGTGATTAGTCACAATATTTATTTTCAAGTTCATATTATTCTGATGTACAGTTGAAAATATCTTTGACACTTTGCATCTCTCTATCAGGTAAATTATTATTCAGAGTGGTCGATTAGGAGTGAATAGCCATGACAACAAAGACATCCCTGTTGAAAGTCATTCTGCTGGGTGATGGTGGTGTAGGGAAAAGCTCCATCATGAACCGTTACGTGACCAATAAGTTTGATGCACACCTTTTCCACACCATCGGTGTTGAGTTCCTCAACAAGGACCTGGAGGTAGATGGTCACCAGGTTACCTTGCAGATCTGGGACACTGCTGGCCAGGAACGCTTCCGCAGTCTGAGGACTCCTTTCTATCGTGGCTCTGACTGCTGCCTGCTCACCTTCAGTGTAGATGACAACCAGAGTTTTCTCAACTTAGGCAACTGGAAGAAGGAGTTCATCTACTATGCAGATGTCAAGGAGCCAGAGAAGTTCCCATTCGTAGTCTTGGGCAACAAACTGGACGTGACGGAGAGGCAGGTGTCTGCTGAGGAGGCTCAGCAATGGTGCCAGGAGAATGGTGACTACCCCTATTATGAGACCAGTGCCAAGGATGCCACCAATGTAGCGATAGCCTTTGAGGAAGCAGTGCGCAGAGTGTTGGCAATGGATGAAAGAACGGACCACCTCATCCCCACGGACACAGTCAAGCTTCACAGAAAGCCTCGCTCTGCTACCACTTGCTGTTCATAACGTCCAGGAGTTATCACTAACATTAATTTGCTGTTATGCCTGTTATGTGACGAGGCTGTAGGTGTACAATGCTGTAGTAACATCTTATTTAAACAAACTATGCTACTGCCTTTGTGATTTATTATTCTGTTGAAGGTTTGATCATGCTAATAGTTGAACTTCTGTTTAAAGAGAGAGATGAAACACTAAATTCATCGCAGTCTAAGTACAAATAAACATGAAAGCACTGAATCATTCACTCAGCTGTGCCACAGTTTAAATGCCAGGCTTTTAAAGGAAAACAGGAAAAGAAACAATATTTTGTTTTGGCCTAAGACTACCTGTGGTGAACTAAAATATGTCATGACAGAACAAAGGCAATATATTTGAAGTTTCACTTCCCTGTAAAGTGGTTTAATATTCCATTCTATTACAAAGGCTAATTATAAAGTGACTCAATGAAATTCACTCCAGAATGTGACAATGCAGATAAAGTGATGACCTGTATATTTATATTTAGAAGATAACAGCATAACTAAAATAATTTATACAACCAATGACCTTATTTCTGAGGATTATAAAGTAGCTAAGGCACTACTTTGTGTAACTAACAAATTGAGGCTTGTTGTGATTATTGCACCTTTAGGTCTTGTTTGTGCACATTCTACATAGTAAATAGATCATGGCTATGTGCTAGGAGCACTGAGGGGCAAGATCCCTGACAGAAGATAAATATTTGAGCAAAATTAACATGCATGGCATATGTTGTATTTAAGTTTCTGGAAACTTTTGTATTTTGTAAACTGTTTTTACCTTAAAATCACTGAATTCACCACAGTATTCCCTTGAGGGAAGTTAAATGAAATAATGGTCATGATGGAACCTTATGTTGGGATTATTGTTTTAAAGAATGATTTTGATCTTTGAAGCACTCTATAAACATTTTTCGCCTTAAAGTTAAAAGTCCTTCCCCAATATTTAAAATGGTGAATCATTCATTTACCTTAACTGTTTCTCATCCAGATTTCATTTATATTCAAAGTTGTACTACTGGTATGCCAAATGATAAATAAACCCTCTTGAGAATTGTCGCTTGAAGCATGTTTTGTAGCCTGAAAAGTTGGTTTATTATTTTACTTTTTACTTTTAACAAACTGCAATGACAAAATGCCTAAACCGATAGATGACAAAAGTAACTACGTTGGAGCACAAGATTGTGTCTGTTAATCTGTATGTTTTATTCATTATTGACCAAGCTCAAACTTATTGGGGATAAATTTGACTTTTTGAGCCTTAAAGTCAAATGTTGATCATCAACAGAGTAGCCATTTCCACAGCCCATCCCGTGCAAGAAATCAGCTAACAAACATTACCCTAGAAACTAGATCAGACAAGAAAATGCTTTATAGAAAATCCATGTGTTAACAATTGTCAAACAGGAAAAGACAAACATACACACATCAAACAAGTGTTAGGTATATGTACAACAATAGACAAGATGCATTCAAATCCCTGCACATGTCATGTGATTAACTCAGGAGATGTTTCTTTCCAAGAAACTGGACTTTCCTCTCGAAAGCTGTCGAGCGGATCGGTGCATTGATTTCATAGAATGGATTCATTGCAAACTGGAAGACACAATAAATGATCAAATCAAAAACCGAAGATAAAAACTGACCAAATGTTACATCATGCTAAGATTTCCTCATTATATGGAAGGCAACTTACCTTAATGTATAAATCATATACGTCATTAAAAAAGTTTTTTATTCCATCCTCTTGTCGCACATCATGCAGCATGATGAATCTTATATGTATGGCAAATAGTTAAAGAAAATAACCAAAACATTACTTGGATGTGACCATACAGAAAAAAACAACCATGTGAATGACTTCTGAAATAATATTATGCTACAAACTAACATGTTAGATAATGGCAATGAGGCTATAATTAACAATTATTTTCATTACCAATGAATGATGTTAATAATTTTTTCCATTAATTGTGTAATATATAAAATAAATGAAAAACCCATCAAAATTTTCCTAGAGCCTAAGGTTACATCTTCAAATTGCTTGTTTTTTTTCAAGCAACAGTCTAAAAATCAAAGATATTTAAGAGGAAAGCAACAAATCTGTATCTTTAAGAAATTGGATTGAGAGAACTTTAGGCTTCTTTTTGCTTAATAGATAACTAAACGATGAATTGAATATCAAAAGAAAAGAAAATCCGTCGATTAATCAATGAATTCTTTCAGTTATCTTGTATCATTGCATTACTGTATCCAAATTAAAGATGTACACCTCAGAAATTTGTTTATCAAACATGACTCAACTAGACATGAAGACATTTTTTCATCTCATTTCATCAGTAAACTACAACATGGCAACATTTCCTTTTTAATTTTAGGACTGCAATAACCACGTTAATACAATAATTACATGTATTCTGCAACAATTCAAGATAAGTGTTCCGTGAGAAATGAATACAATATCAGTGAATAAAAATGTAAGAATAAAGGATATGTCCTGCAGTGACGAAGGCAGAAACAAACCACTCGTTGAACTTGTCCACAGTTTTCAAGTACATGTTGTTGGACAGCCACATGTTTTCATCAACCAAATCTAGCGCAGCATGTGCAATGAACTGGTTCAGGTGACGATGGTCGTCCTGTGGTCAATGAAGAAAATCTTATCACATTAACAGACATTATTATTTCATATAAATAACTTTAAAGGCCTTGTGTCATTGACAGTAAAACAGGTTAGTGTGATCACATGATTTATGGACTATATCCTGACAGTTATGTTCTAGTCTGTCTATTAGTTAAACGAATAACACGTATCACAGCTTTCTTTACTGCTGTTATTGGACAATATATGCAGTGGAATGATTGGTGCTGTTATCAGGGAAGCCACTTTACCTTTGATTCAGGCTTCCCAGCTGGCAAGAACTCCATCTCAAACACAGGGTTGTCATGATGACCAACCATGACAAAATAAAAACTTCCGGACATAGTTTCCCCTTCTTCTTAGCAAAGCCCTGACATCAATTAAAACCAAATGAATTAGGTTAAACAATGAAATCTTTCAAAAAATCACCCGAGTGCTTGTAAACCGTTCAGCTAGCAAGCTAACATTAGCTACAGCACTTAGCAGACGCTTGGCTTCTTTCAAGTCTTTAAGCGATCCTTGTGAGACTATAATTACAATAAGGTGAAAGACAGACTTGAAAAATAGTAAGAATCCGATATGCACAACAAAGACAGCAAGTCATTTTGATTCTTCGATTTTTGTTTACCTGTTAATTTCACTTCCTGGAGAGCAGCGAGAGGAGTCGCGAAAAGATGACGAAATGGTTAAGTAGCCAAATACATTTATCAGCCATCTTTTGTAAAACCTTTTGTTTTTCTTTTTAAAAAGCTACATACAAATCATTATTGCGTGAAACTTATTACAAATTATTTAATGATAATAAATAAATTGCCGTTTTCTTCTTTACGTCATATTTTAGCGTCTGGCCGGAACAGAAATTTCCGTTGGCGGATTTAAATGTTCGAGGCACACCTCCTGGAAAGAGACGCTTCTGGTCGCTAGGATGGCACCTAGCGAAATGCTTGTTTTCTAAGATCCCTGTTGTAACAAGTGTGAAGCAGATAGTGTAGAAAAAGTCTAACACCAGGTAAGAATACTTGAAAATTGTTGAAAAGTGGGGCTTTTTCTCTCTAGCTCGCCATGTCAGCTTCACTGAGCTGTTGTACCTTTTGTTTGTGTTCTGTCAGGACCTGCAAACACTGTGACAGTTATGTACTCGAGCAAGGAAGACACCCTGTCCCCAGATGAGTTGAGGAAAAGACTCTATCAAACTTTTAAAAACAAAGGAGTCCTCGATACACTCAAAGTAAGTCGTGCTAGTAACGTTGCTGTTGACGCCTGTAGCCAACGTCCACTCTGGTCAGCGTAAGTTTGATCTTCATCGCTCTTTCCCTCCTTTGATCTTATTCAGACACAGCTAAGGAATCAGCTCATCCAGGAGTTGAAACACCCACCTTTGACTGGAGGAGAACCAGTCCCCAGACCAGTACCTGTGAAATCTGAACCCCTCTTGGTCTCAGCCTGTAACAGCATAGTGGCTGATCATCTAAGTACCTCAGGATATGAGTACACACTTTCTGTATTCTACCCTGAAAGTGGCTTATGCAAAGAAAAGGTGAGTGTGACTTCTGCATTTGTTTAATTCACTGTAGCTTGAAGTGCAAGGAGCATGCAGATGAAGATTTTGGTTTCTGATCCTTTTTTGCAGGTTTTCACAAAAGAAGACCTTCTTCATCTTCTTAAAATTAATCCCACATCAGCCCTTTACAGATCCCTGGTAAATAATAATATGAATTAGCATGTATAATATTTTCTTATAATAAGTAGAAATAAAAAATATATGTTGTTACTAATATTAATAGTTTATTTATTTATTTTTACAGTCTTCAAATAAAGACAATGATAAAGGTATGTGCAGTATTGCGTTCTTTTTTAATAAAGCTACTTCTGCCCCCACTTCCTTTTCATTGATATACACTTTATCTTTGTCTAGCAGGGTTCCTGATCAGCCTACTAACTCAGCTAACACACCATTATAGTCATGGCCTGTGCCATGATGCAGACACACAGACAACAAGTCATGGAGAGTCTCTTGGTACGGTGAATTGATGTCTTGCATTGTATTCCACGCACATGCCATTGATTGCACAGTTTTTAATGTTTAATGAGCTTTCTCTCTTCCATAACAGTTGAGAAGATGAAAATGATCGATAAGGAATATGAGAATTTCATTTACAGTGGGGACAAATGGTTTCCTCTCCAATCAAAACTGGCTGCATATAGAAAAGAAATTGAAGCCCAGATGCAATCAGAAATGAACACAAAGGTACATATCATTTTCTACAAAGTTAATGAATCAGAAATTGCCCGAGCAGGCATTAAGCACAGCTGCATACTCATATCTGCCGTAAACAACAAAGATATGAATACTGTATTAGAATGGCTAATATGTGAATACTCATGTGTGATTGTTTTCCTTTTTTGTCTTTTAAGATGCTGCATTTTAAAGATGTTGAGGTTGCCAAGGTGAGGATGGAAGAAAAATCCAAATTTCATAAAGAATTTGATAAGCTGAAACAAGAGCTGGAGAGGACCTATGAACAGAAGACAAAGGCATTGATGGACCGGGAGAAAAATGCCATTGATCGGTTACAAAAACAACAAGAGGTAAATTGCTGCTGATTTGATGCTGGTCTTTGTTTTCTTCTGTTTTTTAAATAGTGAAATTTTGGGAGGCTCTCTATCAGTAGTCATTGGCATAATTGTCAGTAGCTTAAATCTAAGATGGTATAAATTATGCCGTTATGTGTGTTTCTCTTTTCTTAGATAGAGGAAAAAAATGTTTATATGCAGAGACAATCAGTACTGAAAGAAATTGAAACACTGCGGAACAGAGAAAATGAGCTGAGGATGAGAACAGAGGCTTTTGAAAAGTAAGAGCTTTTTAATTAAATGTATTCATGTCAGTAAAGGGGTGCTATGCCCTCTCATTGTGACCACTGTTTCATAGAGAATGTTGCTGTGTTTGTGCGACAACAGGACTTTTCAAATTCACAAGGAGAAGGTCAAAACCACAGAAGAGCTGATGAGGAGGAGAGAACTGGCCGTGAAGACAATGGAGGACATGTATGACCAAAGGCTGCAGAATGAACTTTCCAGGTATTTTCATGCTGAACACAGACTGTCTCATTTGTCCATTTTTTTTTCTTTTTGGCTTGGTAGTTCATGTTACCACTCAAAATTAGTCTTATTTTATAGGGATATCCTCATTGTGTGATAAGAGGCTGTAACTGTTGTTAAGGCCTAAAATGACAATGGTTTCCTGTGTGTCCAATATACATTATAAATATATAGGGTACTGACCTGCTATAAGTGTCAGAAATAATTTTTTCTCTTGGTCTTGGTGAATAGATTGTAGTACACATGCTTGACGGAGGCACTGACACTACACATATGAGGCCCCAAAGGTTGCAAGTGTATAATTTTTTTTCTTTTGGTAGAAGAAAAGTTAAGGTAATTGACCATGACCACATAGTAACATACAATATGGAACCTGATTATCCACTTGACCAAATGATACATGACTTTGACAGCAGCTGGTTGGCTATGTAGCAGGAAAAGAGGATGTGATTTCTCGGATGTTTTTGTGCTGATTTAGTTCCAGAGCTCTTTTGAATCGTTATTCTTACGTCTTTATAAAATTAGGTATCAGCTTGAATTGAAAGACGAATTCATCAAGAGAACAGGAAAACTAACCGATAGTGAGAACCGAAACAAAGGTGAGTATTTAAATGAATACAGTGTTTATAAGTGACCAGCTTGCTACTATCTTAGATCATGTTGACATTCTTTCTTTCTTTCTTTTTTCTCTCTCAGTGGAAACCGCTCGTATCCAAAAGGAGTCGGCTGTAATTGATGCCAAACTAGAGGAGCATAGTAGAGCACGGTCAGAGCTGAGACGGCTGCAGGTAAACAAAACCATACCAATCTCCCAGCAGTGTTCACTTCACCCTCTTCAGTGACCACCAGGCACAATATTTCAGTCCTACTAAATAATTGAACACTTCAGGCAAAACCTTTAATCAGTGTGATGTGGTCCTATAATAATTATACAGTACACAGTGTAATTGATTCATTCAGTCTCCAGCTTTATTTTGCCTGCTCTTTTAATGGCTCTTGTGTTGTTTTCCAGGCTGAGCTAGACACAGCACAGCAGCAGATTCCTCTGCTGACTCAACAGAAGGAGCTGTTAAGAGAAAGGCTGGAGACCATGAGTGACTACCCCAGCTTGAAACGAGAGAAAGCAGAGCTGCAGGGGCAGCTGCGGCTGCTAAAGAAGCAGCTGGATGAGGCCCAGGAGGAGAACCGGCTTCTCCATGCAGGTGAGGACCGGCTGCTGTTCCCAAATACCTCCCACGAGTCTTAGCATGGCTCAGTTTCCCTATCTACTTTACCATGAGAGAATATGAGTTCTGCTTATAATCATGTACAACTTAGTGTCTGAGTTATTGCTTATAATTGCTTATAAAAGTAATCCCAGAAAATCGGTACTTGAAAATATTTGCAGTTGTTTTTTTCATAACTGAGATAAATCCAGTTCCCTCAGAGTGCTTGAGTGTGGGCTTATTGTGAGCTCTGGGAGATGCAGTGTACTGTGAAGCATTCGTGCTAGTCTGTCCCACTGCTTCTGGCTCAACTGAGTCTTTTTGAATGTGTCTTGCCTGCCAATGTGGGGCCTCTGTGCCGTGTTTGTAGCTTTGCAGACAAGTGTCTAAAAGGGGCTGGGGGTGGGTGAGAAGTGGAGGGGAAAGGGAGCAGAGACAGAGGCCTCCCATTACCCATGGCAGAGAACCAGAATTTTACCTCTCTCTAAGGGATGATGGGGCAGGGGACCAGTGGGCCTCTCGCCTCACAAAAAAAAACCCCAAAAAAACATGGTGTTAAGCCTCATGTGCTATCCTCTCATCCTGCTCAGATACACACTGGAGCTGGAGTATTTAAAAATGACATCATGAATCAGAACTACTTCTGTATATCACCACATCCTTTTTCCCACCAAAGTAGATGGGGCATTGGGAAACGGACTTTACTTTTAGATTATGTTTTGACTCTGATAAATCCTCTCTAAGATTTGGGCAAACCATCCAAAGAGCAGCTGGCCCTGCAGATGGAGCTACGGAGGCTGCAGAGCGCCCGCAGACTCGATGAGGAAGAGTTTGACAACCAGAAACAGGTGCTGCAGGCACAGCTCCAGAGTGAGGTCAGTGATGTCATAGTGTGGCTATGTGTGTGGGAAACTATGTGTTCAGCTTTTCTTTTCTTTTTTTTTCATGCAGTTTTGCCTCACCTTTGGGAGTTTGGTTTGTCCTTAAATCTGGATTTCCAGTAACTTATACTTATTTGTGTAAACGGTGATTCGTGTAAATGGAGTGTGATGTCCTGTTGTCTGCGGTTCTCTGCAGGTGGAGCGCTGCGCTCAGCTCAAGGCTCAGCTGACAGAGTGTGAGGAGAAGTCACAGTGGATGAGTAACCATGTTGAGGACATCAAGATGCAGCTTCGCCAAACACAGCAAGGTACCGTGTGTGTTTGCCACATCTTAGTGTGTCTTAGTGATTAGTAATTTTAAATTGTGTTGGAGTTTGTTTCTAGTTATGTGTGACATAATCAGTAATAAATAACTTGTGTTTCTCATTTCCATAAACTGGCTTTCTTTCTGTTTTGGATCATGATGTTCTATATGACCATTCAGTTTTATAAAAGAAAAACATTTAGCAAATTTCAAAGATCTCAAACACGGCCCTTTTTTGTTTCAATTATTTTTATAGAAATTTTAGTAAAAAACAAGAAAGAAAGCCATATTAGAGTAGCAGCAATTGGATTTTTGATGCATGTGTAAATGCATGTGAATAGTTCTTAGAAATTAGTTTGCAAACCTTTTTCTCACATCATGTATTCTTTTATGGTGGTTGGTCTTCTGTATTAGTGCTCAACTCTCCTCTTGTTTGCTTTTCCTTTTCTTTCCTCTTTCTCTTTCTTTTGTGCAATCCTTGTGATCTTGGCAGCTCTTGAAAATGAAGTGCTGCGTAACCCCAAGCCCTCTCTTGTTGATCGCTCAGTGCTGGAGCTCAGTGCTGACAGGCTGGTTCCCCCTGACATCTATGTGGACAGAGCTCTGCTGAGGACCAGGGTGGGTTATGATAATGTTTGTGAAGCAGGTGGACCCTTGCGAGGACACCAGTTGCCTTGGAGTGACTCTCCAGACTCTGACATGGAGCTGGTGGCTGAAGCCAAGGCTCGGATCCAGGAGCTGCAGAAGGAGGCTGAGACCTTGGAGGAAGCCTACAGGAACTACCAGCAGAGGGCAGTGCGCTCCACCATCTCACACATGCTTCCCCCAAGACCTCTTTCCCCACAACAACCACATCCTTCACATCGCCCCAACTCTCCTCTAAGGAAACTGGTCTCTCACCATTCTCACACCCACTCACCCCACAAATCAAAGGTCTCACACCGACCACTGTCTCCCCAAAGCACTCGAACCCCCTCCTCGGCGTCCTATGACACCAGAAACGCCTTACCACCTGCGCAGCCAAGAGTGACCTTCTTAGAAGCTCAAAACCAACCCGAGTCCACAGTTTTCACTGAGCGTAGTCTCCATTCATTCACTGAACCTCTGTTTCTAAGAGATGGACACCCTGAGGATGAAAGCTTTGCTCCATCCAGACGTCTGTCCTCCACACCTCACTCTTCCTCCAGGAAAAAACTTCAAAGAGAGACTGCAGAAGGTACCTTCAAAAAATTTTTTATCCTGTGAAAACACTTCAAAGGGCTTAGATGCACCAACCCTTTTTCACCTGTCATGAAATAAAAATTGAAATGTTGTCAGCACTCTTAAACTGCACATTTAACACATACTGTATATATTTTGTTAATGTTCCATAACATCAAAACTATTCAAATATCCAAATTCCAGGTATTTTCATGTCAGTCTTTGGATAATAATCTTAGTCCCCTAATGGTATCATCTAACATAAAGTCTTTGCCCCTGATAGAGGCAGTTGCGTCTCCAGTGGTGTTCACGGAGCTGTCGTCTGACCGACAGCTCCCTCATGCCCCCCGCGAGGAGGTGGTGACCTCAGGTGACTTGTCCTCTGAGTTCAGTCCACCTCCCAGTCCGCAGCTCAAAAGCACAGCACGAGACCAGACCAGGTACCATCTGTCATGGCTTTAGCGAGGACAGTGTGTCATTTTTATGAACTTTCACATAGCGATTGTGAATAACCATGCCCTCATCTTCCTCTTGGTTTCTTCAGTCCACCCAAAATGCATCCTGTCATCTTCAGCTCGGAGTCTTCCCCAGAGCCTGAGAAGATCAGCCTTGAAGATCTCACTGGGAATGTGTCAGGTACTCCGGACTAGAATTTGTTTTTTTTTTTCCTGACTAATACACTGTGTAAAGTCACTGATACACTGTATTGACTGAGACCAAGTTCAGTTTCAAGTCTGTGAATACACTGTTAGTGTGGTATAATGGAAAAGCTTTTCATGTCATTGCTCTTAACATTAAAGTGCCATGGACCAGATTTCTCAGAAGCTTTCACTGTATCCTGGGCTGAACAGCCATACGATATATATACAGCTTATTTTCTATGTATGAGTTATGCATGATGTGAGTGTTACAGAAGTGATGGAAAGTGCGATCGCTTTCTGTGTGGCTCATCTTTCTATGCATTATTTTTATTTTATTTCATTTGTTCCCACTTTTTTCTTAATGATGCATTATATAACTAAAAGTGTCTTAAGTGTATTATTCTTATTGATTTAAAAAAAAAAAAAAAATCCCAGTGATAAAATGTAGTATATCTAGTAAGGAGGTTTTGGATTTTGGAATGGCCGTTTTTTAATGAGTGTGTGACTGGCCTCCAAAGTGTCCTTTCAGTGGCCCTGCACAATGGTGAAGATGAAGGGCAGCTGATTATGTATTCTGTGCTGGTCCTCTGGCCCTGTTGCATTATGGTGCAGCATAAAAGATCTCTTTGTGCATGTCTCCCTCCAGAGCCCGGCCACATTCCAGAGCTTCTCCTGGACACTGCTGTCCCTCTTACTGAGGAGGCCCCTGACGGCCCCGCTGTCCCCCGCCCACGGGACCTCCCAGAAGACCCGATAGACTTGCAGGGCCAGGCGGGTGAGTCTTTAATCCCCGCGTTACTGATGCATAGTCTCGGTTGACCCAAATGACACAAAGGGCAACCTTCTACTGTAAGCCGAAGTCAAACGCCCTGTTCATCTTCTACTGATTACCATCAGTCTCATAAGTCTCTTTCATACTGTAGCCAGTCTACAGCCCAAACCAAAAGGAAGACAGGAACTTCATCACCAAACGACAACTGATCTGACTCATGCCAATCCATATGTTTTGCAGAGGTCCCACAAACCTCAGGTGAATCTGCTAGGGAAGAAGATGAAGAGGATGAAGAGCAGAGGTGGGAAAGAGAGCGAAAGGAAAGACAAGAACGAAGGCAAAGGGAGCAAGAGGAAGCCAGAGAGAGGGAGCTCCAAGAACTCAAAAGACTGGAGAAAGAGATGGTAATTATTATCTTCCACCTGGTTCTTCTAAAACTTTCTGATCTTCACATATTTATGTCTACTGAGAAAAGGCAGAATGAATGAGTATCTATGTCTGACCAGCTTTTGCAAGAGGTGGAGCAACCAGGACAGGAAGGAGAAGAAGCAGAAGAAGAAACGGGGATTAAGAAAGGGGATGAAGAGCAGAAAGATGATGGAGAGGAGGCTAAAGCAGAAAATCCCTTGGAAAAATACATGAAAATGGTCCTGGAGGCAAGGGAGAAGGAGCATGGACAGGTGACTTTCTGACACTACTGTAAAACTTTGCTTTTATAAGCAAGCAGGTAACTTGTATTAATCTGGTTGTTTGTTTTTTTCAGAGCCCTGGACGAGACGAAGCAGGACATACGAGCCCGGAGGCCAAGAGTTTGTCTGATGAAAAAGAAGACAGGTAACTATCTCCCACATAGTTCTTTCAATATTGACATAAACCTACTCAAATTAAAGATGAGATTTGGACTTTAATGTAGTATCTGTGATTTTATTTCAAATTGAATGTTCTGATGCTCGGAGCCTGAAGAACAAAAGATGTGTAACTGTCCAAAAACTTACCGTCTGGATTGCATACAGTATAAGCCCTACATAAGCCTTTCAAAAACATTTAATTTCTTTTGTGGTTTCTCATCTCCCTGTCTTTATAATGTTGTTATTTGTACTGGAATTACATTGTCTCAAGGATGAGTTAATTGAGAAATACTTTACTATTTTTGGTTTGTTTTTTTCTGTCCCTTGAGGCTTCCACTAACTTGATTTTTCTTTTCCCAGCATTGTAGCATATTCACACAAGGATGAAGATGATGACTTCTGGTGAGCTGTTTGTCCCAGACTGCCATCATAAACTAATGAATTATACGAGCCGCTGTAGTCTTTTACTGTTTTAAGTGTGATGCATTTGTTGTTTATATTTTAAGATTTTGCTAATCAGTATGTATACACTTGTTTTTACATGTGTATGAATAAATGCTGTTGTACAATTTTTTTACTTACTGTACACCAAACAAGATTTTCTATCATGCAAAAGAAGCACACACCAAAACAGAGAGAAATCTGTTTTATTTTATTTTCATAAAAACAGTCAACAGGCCGGTTGAGTCTTGTCACAAAGGGGTTTCCAGTCAGACAGGATGCTGGATTGTTGTCCTTCTGGTGATTGATAGGTAGCCTTTATTCTTTAGTTTTTTTTTTTTTTCTTTTGGTTCATTCAACAGGAAACACAGCATACAAAGATGAGATGTAATAAACCACAGCCTCATGTGCTTCTGTCATCTTTCATCTCAGCCTCTGTACAGCTGTGGTTATGAGTCTTATAGAGAACAATGCAGGTTTGGTGCTACAATATCTCACAGATACTGTGTAAAACACTGGGCAGAGAGTCACAATGGCATTCATACTTTGGCTAAATCTACCATTTAGATTGCCGGACAGTTTTATAAATGACATGGTGTTTACGACTAATTGTTATATGAAAGTTGAATTAAAAGTTAAGCATCAGTAATTCGCGAGGAAGCCCTTGACATTCATAGAAAACACAGGTATACTATCAGGCAACAAAATAATATAGGACTTATATACTTTAAACTTGAATAAAAGACTCTAAAAACATCTATAACTAATCAGCTATATAAAAATGGATTAATTTGTAATCAGTTAGGAAAAAAAGAAAACAGGCAAACACTGCCTACTACTGATGTCAGTATACGTGACTGTACATCATGTGTGTTGCTGCAGAAACAGTTTTCTTCATGCAACAAAGAAACATCAAGTTATCCCTGTAACTCAACTAACAGAAATAAAAGACTACACGAGCAATTACGTCAGCATTATGACAACTGCACATCAAAAAAGATGCAAATATAGAAAATTAAGAAAAAGTGGTTTCTGTTTTCAATAATAACAAAACACAAAATCCTGACTTGTAATAAATTTACAGTTCACACCTTAAGCTCTTTAGATCTGTTTAGATCTTTTTTTTTTTCATAGTACCAATACACATGGGACATAGTTCTGCTTCTTTCGTACAATTTTCAAAATCAAGTCAATTTTGATCATACTGTACAGATGTTACATTAGACAATGAGCTAAAAACTGTTTATGGGAGATCAGAGAGCTCTCTTCATTGGCAAGCCTTGATCTTTTTTCGCTTGATGAAAACAAACTTTTAAGCTATTAAATACTTTGAATATCTTTCTCTCATTATTGGCAGCAATCCACATTTAGCAAGCCAGTTATTCATATGGGATTACCCATAAAAATTAAACACTGATGCTGTTCTGCAGAGGAGTTCATAGAGCAAGCGTGCATGTGTGTGTGTATGTGTGTGTGTGTTCATGCATGCATGTGGTTTATGTTGCAGCTACCTAAATATATACTGTGTGTTCGAGGCATCTTTTTGCAATTAAAGAGGGATTTTCAAACCATAGTTTTACAAGGGAGAAGTGTTCCAGTTAAATTGATCCAGAGGTTCTAGTGCACACCTGAGGTAGTGTTAATGTAGGCCATGAAAGTTCTGTGTGACTTTTAAGTAGCTGTACAATGAAAATTAGAATCAACAATCAAATATCACTAATTGAGACAGTAATGCAGTGAAATACTTGACTCTGGCTTTAGCGAGTACAAATAACCAGCACTTTTCCAACAGAATGCGGTGCATACTTTATATTTGACCTGTTTGACCTGCAAAACATCTTTTGAAATGTAATCGTCTTGTGTCAGTAGTGTGTGACACTCAGACTCAGACTGGATGTTAAGGCCTTTCATGTTTGTAATTCATCTGCATTTTTGATTGAAAAAGAGCGAAAAAAAAAAACAAAACAAAAAAAAAAAAAACAAACAAAAGAAAGTTATACATTCCCTTATTGAAAACTTGCACCACCAGCTCAGAAGAAAGAAAGAGCAAGACTGTAAAACAAACTCATTGTTATGCGTTGTATGAGAATAGTGCAATGTCTCAAGCTTCACCAGCAAAGACTGGTTATAAAAAAGGGCTAGAGAAAATGAAAAGACAACAGGAACATCAAGTTTTTCCTCTAGAAAAATAGAAAATAAAGAAAAAAAAAAATAAAAATCAGCATGAATGAAACTTTACATAGCAGTTCCAAAACACTTCCTGGTGAGTTAGTGCAGAAAGCAACACTGATGCATTAGTTTGTTAGGAGCCTGGTTAGTACTGCACAGTGTCAGGGCAGTTGGCAGGTTATTTTAGCTGAGCATTGTCTTGGTCCAAAGGGGCCACAGTGGTTGGCCACAGTGTCTATGTGTCTTTGTGCGTGTGTGTGCGTGTGTGTGTGTGTGCGCTTATGTGGACTGTGAGCGTGTAATATCCTTATGTGTAGGAATTGAGGCATTCCTTTGAGCGTGAGGTGATGTCCTGCAGCTCCCGCTCTTCCTTCATTTTGATGTCTTGGTAGGCATGCATTTGACTGGCATCCTTAAGGTAGGCCCAGTTTGCTGAGAGAATCATGAGGAAGTGGATCTGGAAGAGAAGGGTGAGGTGGATGGCCGGTGAGCATGTCAGAGATGCAAAGCAAGCTACAGGAGTCCGAGCTATAGTACGTACATCATAGACAAACACAAACGTGAAGTTAAGCTTTTAAAAAGACCTAACACACAGGGGCGACGAGACATTACTGAATGAGACTTAACTGTTACAATTATTGTAACAAGACATGTTACAATCATTACTAATACTGGAGTTACTATCTTGCTATGCACAATACTACAGAAATGACACTTTTTAAGGCGTGAGGATGAGTAGAGGAGAGGATGAGAGCCAGAAGTTGTGCATGCAAGCTTTATGCAGCTGTAAAAATGCTGGAGGTTAGTGCAAAGCATGAGATAGTGACCCTGCAACATGTGCATCTCACGTTTATATCTCTGAAACACTCTTTTTGTAGGATTAATAAGAAATAGACCAAGTGGGGATATTTTTGTAAACAAAGATTGTTTATTTTATATAGAAAGTAAAAGCTACAGTCTTCCAAAACTTAAGAGAAAATTAAATATATGAAATATGGAGTATAAGTAACTATAAATCAAAGAATCTGAAAAATTTAAGCATGCAGGCTCAGTGTTAAGATAAAAAGAAATGGCTCTTTAATGGCACTTTGAGAAAGAATAAAGGAAAATGTATGAAACAGAACATCAACTTCATTGCTGAGGCCATACCAGCATCAGCTCTCATAGAAAAAAAAAATACATTTACTCTACTCTAAAATAGGAGAATTTCTTCTTTTATAAAATACATGAAATTAAAGTGAGGCATATGGCCTCACGCAGAAGTATAAACCTGGTACTGGCCTAACCCTTCATAGTGTGTTGTGCTAGGTATGTGCAGTTACTTTGAAATCTACAATACACAAATGGTCACCATAATACTCATCCGCATAATACAGTTGATGAAAGGTTTTTAGTTCGGTTTAGAATCTAACTCGTGACAAAGGAGATAATACTGAATATTTGCTGTGTAACACTTCATGGGTTGCATGAGGTGGTACCAAAATTTTAAGGCTGAGGAAATAAACCAAATATAAAGGCCACTGCTACTTCGCCACCATAGCTAGTCCTGGTATAAATGTATCACTAGAATTCATCCTCGCCAAAACTACTAATCTGGCAATCAAAAACATTAAGGCCTGAGAACACCTTCAATATTTGTCATCAGATGTCCACGACGACTAATTTCAGAGATTTATACTGTACATACTGTTGACACTGTATATCTATAAGGGCTCGGTGCAGTCTACGTCTTGATCAGACCTCAGGATGGTCTCATTCCTAATTTAAATTTCATCTTTAAAACTGTGTGTAACACCCTGCACAAATATCTTAACATTTATGTTTCACAAGTGCCTCAGGAGTTTGCGCACGAATTGGCATTTCAGCTCTTGACTACAGTCATCCTCTGAAGTACTGCATGCTAAATACTGCCGTTTTTTTTTTTGTTTTTTTTTTAAATACTCATGCAGTTGATGCCTTTGTGCAGGTCAAAATCAGCTTCACACATTAGGAATATAAATAACACTGGTGTGGATTTCTAGTTGTGCACATTTCTATAAAATCTAATGGTGACATGTTGCTGTGAGCGCCAAGGAAAGCAGAACAAACCAGGCAACTAAAAACCAACCCACTCTGAAGACAACTCTCATCAGGTGTCCTCAGACAAGCAATATCCCTGGATACCAAATGCTAAAGGAAGCATATCAGCTATTTACACTTCATGTGATTACTAATGGAGAGATGTTGATTTTTTCTATTCTCAGTTTGTTTGTTTGTTTTTTTTTTTTTTAGTTCACTTGTTGTCAGTGGCAACTGTCTCTACTCAGTACAGCATCAAATGCTGTGCTGTGCTCATAAAACAGTTTAAAACTTAGTGCAGCAGTCTTCTCGACTCTTAAACTTCAAAACAGCAAAGTTATAAGTGGTAGCCATCATGTAGATCAGCTGGTGGAAGAGAACAGAGAAGGTTGTAAGAGAACATGCCGGTGACCTCCTCGTCACTAGTAAAGTGACCAATCATTTTCCAGTAGTAAGAGTTAAGAGAAGTAATGGGAAAAATGTTAAAGACCATAAAGTCAAAATTTTATTACATCCTATTTGTGATTTTTGTGGTTCAAACTCATGATTATGAGTTTTAGATGACACATTTATGATACCCAAACTGCACCTTGTTCCATTCATCTTAAGATAAAAACATGGCCATGTGCATCTAAGCAGATGGTAAACAGCAAATGGAATAGGAGCTGAGGAAAAGCCTGTGCAATAGTCCTTAGCGTGGTTACATAAACCATATGGGAATGACAAGAGGACCACTTGGACACATGATCTGTTGATACAAACCGTGCAAAGATGGGCTAAAGGAAGAAGGATGGAGAGACTGGAGGGAAACTTACCAGAGCGATCACAGTGGCTCCTGCCCCAGCGCACGCTACGATGTACAGGTGATAAGACAGGTAGAACTGGAAGAAGACAAGCAACAGTGATTATTCTTAAGTTAAAAAGGCCACGTCCTCATCACCCACTGCTGGCGTTTGTACGAACAGGAGACAGGATCTTACCTCACTGGTGTTGCAGATGTCCCCTAGCGTAGATCCGCAGGCCTTGCCCGGTGTGGCGTTCCATGGGATAATTCCTGAAATTCAAAGTTTTCATATACACTCAAATCTATTGTGAATCCATGTGAATAATAATCAAACCTGTCAACCACTATGAATGAATCTGCCGAGTTGATGTCAACAACAATTTCACACATGAGGCAGGGTCTAGCTCCTCAGGCTGAGGCTTGCTGTTGTGTAGTGTTTCTCTTCTACTACGTGATATAATAGACGGGCAGTTCATCCAATCGGCAAGTATATTTTTTTGAAAGCGCCTGCCCTTTTCCACACAGTTTCCAAGCAAGCCTTCCCAGATGGTTCCGTGTAACAAACCATCTGGTGCATCTGTTTAACGCAGTGAAGTTGCAGTCGTGCTACATTATGGGAAATGTACATTCCAGGATATTCTAGAGGTCGACCCTTTAAGGATTAAAAACAAGATATCTTGCCAATCTTCTTTGTAAATTACTGGAGAACTCCTTTAAGGAACACACCCCCTATGAGAAAAAAATTCCAGGGAACATTTTGCTTATCATTTGTTATCAGTACTGTCCTATTCTATCTCTGTTATTCCAAAGGTGAAGAAAGAAAACAGATGTAGTTTTGCATTTCATTTATTATATAGAAACAAGTGCTCAGGAGGTTGGGTAAAATAAATCTGAGATGCCACAAGACAAAGCAAATCAGTTATTTGGGCCTTTAGAAATACAAATCACTCTGTGGTTGAACTGGTCACAATCAGAAGATATGCAACATGTAATACGGGCTCTCAGGGCTTTAAGGCGTTACAAGGTTTTAGAATGAGCGTGCACTAATAAAAACAATTCATTACGTGATGTTCTCTTACCATACTGACGAACATCCACGCAGATGGACTCAATGTTGGTGGTGAGATTGAACATGGGAGACCTCATGGCAGCACAGGTAGACCACATGTTGTAGAAGAGGAAGACCGGCACGGCAGAGAAGCCGAACACACCAAGCCAGGCCACACCCAAAATGTATGTGAGGAACACAAACTGAGGACGCAGAGATGGCGCAGTGTTAGCATCGTCGGATAACCACGACACTGAAACAGCAGTGAAATGGTAACAATTACACTCCTCGCCCCCCACCCCACCCCCCACCCCCCTCATACTTTGTTCCTTTAATGAACGCCATCATCATCGTCATCTTTGCATGTAATTCCCATTTTAATCACATGACATGAATAGCAATGTGTGCACTCTGTTTTTAAAAAAATTAGGATTACACAGCGCAGTGGTTGTATTAACATACCATTCCACTGATGCAGCGTCCACAGATGGTGGTCTTGAACTCGCTGTGCAGTTCCTTGACGGCGCTGGTTGTGTAGAAGCCCTCGGCCAGCAGGATGATCCCGTACAGGAAGAAAAACGAAGCAATGCCGTAGATGACATACTGCATCAGCTGTATTCTGTTTAAGAACAACGTCACACATAAGTTGAGCCCGTAAAGCTGCAGTGGGTTAAGCGCAAATCAACGACTTATCATTTTTTTAGCCTCCAATGTAACACCTGGAGAGACCCACTAAAAATGTCAGGTAAAGTAATAGCGTGGCATGCCGCTGTCTGGTATGAAAAATGGCTGTTTGTAATCCTTTGCAATATTTTGCATGTAGTCTTTAAAACATCAGTAACCTGGGCTGGCTGATTAATCATAAACACATGGTTATGAGCTTCCCTAAGACAGAGCGACGGAGAGATGCTCAGCCCAAATGTGGAGATAACAGGTGATACACGTCTCGGGAAATCATCCTCCAAGAGGCAGACTGTCTCTGTAGACATCTTAAATTAAACAAAGCACTCCAAGTCTACACCAACATAAAACATATGTGCAGTCCTGTCTCTTGTCATCCCTCTTTTATAGTCTGGACTAATGGAGGAAAAGGAAAAAAAAAAAAGTTCCATATTAGGACTGTTCTCCAGGATAAGGTGAACATGGGAGATGTTATCAGCTAAAAATAGCCCACATAAAGTCACCCTCATTAAAAGTGTTATCTATCTGAAGTTTAGACCTCTCTTTACTCTGATGGTTATGTAAGAACACATTTTCCACTCAGCATTATGTGTAATGGATCTTTCTGTGATGTTAACGATACGATTTTACTTGGTCCCAATCCTTGGTTTTATTTCTTTTTCAGACACCGGGAAGCATTACAAGCCGCCATGTAGTACGCACATAAGAGTATGAGGTCACTTACACGTCAGTCAGCATGGCATGATCACTGGTGACCTTGGAGAAGTGGGTTTCTAGGATGGTCACAGTCCCAGTGAGAGCCACATGGCCACATCCACAGAACAGGGCGACGCCAGAGAAGCAGAGGATCGTAGCCACCAGCGACGCATACGGCACCCCGCCTAAACATTTGATGCAGCACTCGAAGCAGCCTGTGCAAAAAAAAAAATAAAAATAAAAAATTGTGTCAGTGGCAAGTTTTATTTGATATCATGAAACAGTCAATATCAGCCCTTAAATTCTAGTGACAAGTGACTGTGTTTCACTTGTAGAACAGGAAGTGATCTCAGGGAAAGCAAGATTAGTATTCACATGAATCATCCATTAATCCTTCAAGCCTCTCCCAGCACGCACTGGGCGAGAGGCAGGGTGCACCCTGGACGGATCAACAGTCTATCACAGGGCCATAAGAATCACATTATAACCAACTGCATCGCTCATCACCACTTATTAAATGGCACTGTACTTTTCTTTTCCACAGAAAAAAAAGCCTCATCCTCAATGCTGCAAAGGAAACAATGAACATATCTGTTCAAAACAGGTTTCATAAAATTAGTCTGTGGTCCCACATGATGCAGCGTGCTTCCTTCCTTTCCAGTACCAGCAAAGAAACGGTGTAGCTGTTGCGCGCCGCTGAGGTTTTACAATCAACACTGCTTTTAATGTTTCATTTGATAATTCATCACTGCACTTAAAGGGTCCTAATGGCCATCCAGCAGGTCAGAACAATGGATGTCTGCCAAGCTGTAATGGAAATCAATGGCAACTCACACTGAGGGAATGAAGTGACCCAGATGGGTCTGTCTCATTAAATGTGTTCTTTTGCCTTGTGAAATGGAGCCAGTCACCACAATGCACTGTTTGAGGATGCTCGGAAACAAACCTCAGTGTGCTTCCAATCAGATCCACATGTGTTTGACAGGATGTTGGAGAGTCATAGGGACATCCAGGTCGATGGCTGTTTATGTTTTAAAGCTCTCACAAATGCCTGATATCCGACCGCAGCTCAAGCTGTTACAACTGATATTTTCACATTAACAATTGATCAAATGACTGTGTGAAGGGGCAGAGGTCGCACCTAGTGATAAACCCACAGTTATCACCCAACTCTACAGCTCTACAGATCGTTTTAGCCTCTTTTTTTCCAAAAGCCGCATCTGTTTTAAGCAACAAATAACCAACGAACACTAGGTACACATCTCCAAGTGAATGCCAATGGAAATTGTTTGCTAACATATCCAGCTAGTTGCACTGCAAGAGATCAATAAACACAGCTGAAGGTTTAACAAGTCCTCTAGAAAAATAAGCCTATTTTTTAATTTTCTGTCTTCGAAAGAACTGCACTAACCTTCACAGAAGAAATCATGCAACAATATTGATGAGTGAAAGGAGGCTTTGGGTTTTGATAGTGCTTTGACTGCAAGGAGTTGTGTAAATAGCGTCATCAACCACATCCATATCAACAGCATGAGAGACCATTTTATGCAGTCTATGCATAATGTGGGATGTTAAAAGTAATCTCCAATTGAGAGGAAATTTCCTGTTTCAGCGAGTTCTTGTATGACGGAAGAAAAAGGAAAGTAATAACATGGCTGCAGACAACATGAGCACAACTTTGACCAAAAATTCCTTTCTACTTGCATGCTTCTTCTGTGAGGCCTGAAAGTTCATCTGTGTTTGTGCTCTTTGCCGTGACAAAGGAAATTAAAACAGATATACTGCTGCTGGGACGCTTCACCCTGACTGTTTGTGTAGTACAGGGAGATAAAAAACATTTTTGTCCCATGGTGGGTGAGCAAGAGTTGCCATGGCAGCATGTTAACCACAACTCAATGAGTGTGCCCACAGCAGAGTCGCTAAACTTCTACCGCAGCCCACATTTCTCTGATGAGCATGTCGGGGGAGGGTTGAGTGGGCTGCCGGGGATCCACAGGATATTGAGCTCGGCTGCAGAGTAAATACAGTCCGTTTAAAGGAAGAGCTGCTCTTGGGGTGGATGTCACTGTCGGGCAGCTGCGATCCAAAAGCAGACTATATCTTGGCTATAAGTCGACAAGCTTTTTCAGTTCAGACTTTTTCCCAAGCCTCGCAACACACTTTCCTGGCAATGAAATACACCCTCCTAAGGAGAGGGCAAGTTTCCATATGAAAACTGTGGTTGGGGTTTATCTATATTAGGAAATCCCTTGTATTAAAGGTGCACAGAGTGACAGCAGTCACAGCGGTTTAATCATGAATTCATTTGACAATTGCAATCAGTTGTGACGTGTCGTGGATGAAAATCAGTGTCCGTTTGGTTTAAAACCCTGCTTTAAAATGTGACACTATTCCCGTTAGATTCACTACACAAAAACTTATATCACATTCATGGATGCCAAGACATCACCATGACCGTCAGTCTGCCTTGTTTGCCTGAATTTTTTTTTTAATCTGAAAATGAGAAAAATGTCTGAACACAGACCAGATCACCTAAAAAATGTGTCCAGGCAGACTACAACTAACATCTGAAATGCTTACATCATCACACTGACCATGTAACCACCCTCCCCTGCAGCCTGTCACGGAGAAGGTCAGGCTGACATGCGCTACATCTGCCATCCTTGTGTAACTTGGTGCAGCGAGAGAGACAGAAAATGTGCACTTAGTTTGAAAGCCACCAATCCTGTCAATAACCCATCCGTTTGATTAGTGTCCGTTCCGCAGGAGTGGTTTGCTTTTGAAGCCGTCTATCCATCCAGACTGAGGCTCCTGGTTAGCCACCTCTCTGTCACTGGAGAAACCATGTCACACTTATTGGGTGTTATGCTTAATAACACAATAAATCCAAGGTGGTATTTTCACAGCTGGACTGGACATGTTGGCGGGTTAGTATAACTCTGTTCTGGCTGACTGAAACAACACTGGCTGTCGGACAGGTCCACTGCCGCGGTTTAACTATTAGCAATCTCAGGAATACTGCTCTGTTCACAAAAGGGCCTCTGTGAAAGGTTTAGTCTTGGTATTAGACATCAGGGGAGACAGTCACGGCATCAAAAGGTCAACAACACTTTAAAGATATCCTGCACAAAGTAGCATGGGGACGGCAGTCTGCACCAAAGTAAAATAAAACAGTGGATGGATTCAAAGCAGAGGTGGGATTCTGGAGCAATAATAGGATCTGTGAAATATTACGTGTGTCCTTATAATTTAATCTGCTGACTTTAAAGAAGGTTATATATTGGGTTTGGGTTAAAAGAATTATTTGACATTTTGGGAAATTCACTCTCTTTCAGTCTCTTGCCTTGTTAGATGAGAAATCAGATGTTAGAAGAGTTAGATGAGGAGATACCACTCTGATGGTTGTTTGTTAAATACAAGGCTACAGCCAGCAGTCGGTTAGCTTAGCATTTAGACTGGAAAACAGATGGAAACATCTGGCCCAGCTCTGTCTAAACGCAACTAAATCTAGCTTCCAGCAGCTCAAAATCGGAACATACAACAGTATATCTTGTTTGCGTAATCTGTAGAAAAAGTGACAGGACTTCTTCTTGGCCAAGCGCGGTGACTTCCTGGAGTCTCCCCGTGGGGACGACAAGACTCCAGGAGCGTGATATTTATTGCACAGACAGCAGAATAGTATCAATCTTCTCATCTAACTCTCTGCAAGAAAAATGAAAGGAGCACATTTCTCCAAAAATGTTGAACTAAGTCAAGTTTAAAAAGGATGACGAATTCTGCAATTAAGACTGCTGGATAACACAAAATTTTATGGATGACAATGTCACGTGTACTTGAGAGTTATAAGACAGACATCCAGTATCAGTAGACTGTTTTCTTTAAGTGTACAGTGTGGGATTTCATGGAGTACAGGATGTTGCAGTGCAAACTTTAGCCCAAATCATCCTCCTCCACAGGCAATAACAGCAGGAGCTGGTAACTCTCTAAACAACAAGCGGATCTCGCCGGCTTGTTCCGAGTGGAGCACTACAAATGAAAATCACGTTGGGCCTTTTCCTTCTGATGACTTTCACATGCTCCCCGACTAATACTCCTGGTTAGACCTCCAACCACTTCAAGACTCTCCACTCCCCATCTCCTTGTTACAGTACATGAATGGGAGGAGGAGAGACAGAATGAAAAGTAGATTGAGAGAGAGAAACGCAGACAAGTTCTCAACTGTTTGTAATGACAATGTCGGGCCTTAAAGCAGAGGCTAGACTTGCCACATCGCGATCACGAGGAGAGAGGGAGAAAAAGAAGCTTGTGTGAGAAAGAGTGTGTGTGTGTGTGTCTACATGTGTGACACTGTGTGAGAGAGACAAAAAAAAAAAAAAACAGAGACAGAAAGAGAGTCCAAGAAGCCCTGATACAAAGAACCAGTGTGTGCAGTCCTAGACTGTCCATCACACAGGACTCTCAGGGGCCCATTCAGAATGGCAGTGAACCACAGCCCCGTTCTTCCGGCCCACAGGCTGGAGGCCCAGGACAAGCCCACCGCTGAGCTCCATCCTGTGTGCCCCTCCAGCACTGCACACAGCTCAGCCACAATGGACCTTCGCAGCCTCTTCACACTCCAGGAGGATCCTGTTTATCGAGGCCTCTCAAATCATCGAGCATGTGAATGAGATGGCTCTGCAAGACCAACATGAGCTGCAGGTACGCTGGAAATACTGACCTGCAGGCAGACGAACCCACAGAGGCAAGAAAACAAGGGGCGTTTCTTGGCTTGGCTTTATTTGTCTAATCAATGCTGGATAACCCCGCAGGCCACGTAGACAATTGATCTGGGGCCCCTCAAGATGCCCAACGACCTCCAGGTTTTCTGTAGGTTTTAGGTTTTTTTTTTTTTTTAATTACTTTTGACCATTTCATAACTTCAATCCACAGCCAGCAGTAGAGAGAGTGAAAAGAAGTGGAGCGAGGGAGAAAGGGTGGAATGACTTCCCCACCCATCAGGATGTGAACCGGGGATGTTGCAGTTCATGGCCGTCCACCAGACCAACCTGGTTTTTGGTAATTTGATTACTTGCAAAATTTGTTTTTCACCACTTAAGTACAAGAGGCACCTGCATTATTGCATAACTGTTTGGCCCTGTGTCAATAGTTTGAGCACCTTTGTTAATTTTAGTGCACATTGTGCTCACGTAGTAATTTTTAAAATGTGTATTTCATC